GCAGGTCTCATCGAGTCAGCATTGCGTTTAATAATAAAGTTGTGTAGTAATGTGTACGATTGTTACCAGGATATGCTGAGCATTATTACAGGAAAGAAGAATTTACACGCGGATGCACAGAGTTCTCGACATTAGAACAACGTCTATCAGCTTAGAGCAGTTCCTGCAATATCGCTCAGTAACATTGGTTTGTGGTCCAAGGAATTGTACGCCAAGCTCACGAACTGGAAAGTCATTAAGTGTTAGATGTTCAAGTGAGGGCCGCTAAGAAGCGGTAAGTTACCCCGAATCAGTCAATCTGTCACGGATTAAGGCGGTGAGCTCGTCCTTGAGGTATCCTCCCGGCCATCCCTATGTATGCGCTGATACAATCGATGTTACCGGGCGGGGCAACTATGCCATCCCAATGCATCCAATGGTACGATCGATGTTACCGGGCGGGGCAACTATGCCATCCCAATGCATCCACTGGTACGATCGATGTTGCCGGGCGGGGCAACTATGCCATCCCAATGCATCCACTGGTACGATCGATGTTGCCGGGCGGGGCAACTATGCCTTCCCAATGCATCCAATGGTACGATCGATGTTACCGGGCGGGGCAACTATGCCATCCCAATACATCCACTGGTACGATCGATGTTGCCGGGCGGGGCAACTATGCCTTCCCAATGTATGCACTGGTAGAATCGATATCTCCAGCGGGGCAGCTATGCCACCCTAATTAAGTCTAGGTCCCGAACAACACCACATGATATCTCCACACACCAAGAACTCCTCCCACAGGAGCGTAGTACAGCATTGCACCAACACTCATTTACTGCACTCAAGGCCGAGGTAGCACAAGAAACTCGTCCTGTCTTTTGCCTAGAGCTTAATGCTCTTGATGGCATCGATGAAATTACCAGCCATCTCTGGCGTCATATCCGGCATCATGCCGTGCCCTAAATTGGCAATGTACCTACAACGACAATCCCTGCAAATCGATTATCGGAAGGAAGACCCACTTCGAATGTCCACCTCCAAAGGCATTCACGTTGGCTACAACGGCATCCTTCACAACAGCAGCTGAGCTGTACAACATCGCGGGGTCTAAGTTGCCTGCCGAAAGTAGACATTGTTACCACCGCTAACCTTAGATCAGTTGACTACCTTGGAGGACCTTATCAGGGAGATCCCGTCTCGCTTCGTCTGCTGGCTTTCTCCACGACACCGAGATAGCGTCGTACGCTGAGTCCTCGAATGAAGTCAGATCTTGGACATCTTTTGGGAAACCGATCACCAAAGCGTCAGGTCGTTGTCGTTTCACCTAGCACCACACATACTCGACCACACCATCCCCAAACTTTCCTTCTTACTTCAGCCGGGATCCGCTTGAAGTCTTCCAAGCAAAACTGAGCATAACACGCCGGAGTTATCTCACCACCGTTGGTATCAAAAACCTGAATCCCAATTAATCTCTTAGAACGAATCCTGAGCATGTCACATGTTACCTGCAGAATCTTAGCTCCCGCGTCATACTGGTTGACTAGGTATTCAATACAAATATCTGTTATAGCTGCCATCACACGTTTGGCGTCTTCTGGATAGGAGTAAAGCCTGCAAAGCAACTCAGGAAGAGCTAAATGCTAACCACGGCCTAATACCAAGTTCTAGCCTTAGCCCAAGTCTTACTGCCCCCGCCTTCTACCATGTAGCAAAACAGGGACCACGGCGCACCTGTAGTAGTCCATCTGACGGTGCTATCACAATCACGACAACTTACCACAGAAACCGATGACGGTGAGCTGATTTTCGAGTTTGCTGACAGTAGCGAAGATAGCATCATACACATAAGCCAAACCTTCACCCACATTGGGTTTGAGATTGAGGATCCTGCCAAGTGAATAGTCTAGGAGTAGAGCCCCTCGAAATACAAGAAGGCTACCTTTCGATGTCTTCAGGCGTCTCGAGCTTCGGACTCAGGACAGGACCCTTTCCGGGAACCATTTCCAAATGCTGACCCATGAGCATCGGGATAGTCAATATATCCGAAAACACTGTGAAGAAGCTTCCTACTCGGTTTCGTGCGTAGTTAAACTTACCAATGCAAGCGTCAAGCTTATTGAATCTCCGATAGGGCTGTATCGTTACCTCTGAGGCCAAGTCCGGATCTTGGCAGACCTAGGAGGAATATTAGTCGAGACAACAGTAGAGCGAAGCTACCTTAACGAAGTCATGCTCGGCCCGCAGTTCCTTGAATTCTGGTAAATAACGGCCAGCTTGCCTCATTATCCACACTGGAATCTCATCTACTTCCTCACCCCGAGCCGCCCGCAGCAACCTGAGTGAGTCGGTACCAAGAAGCTCAGACCAGCAGACAACAACTCGTGGCAGACTAGAGGCTGACCCGTTTCTACCTGTTCTGCTTGGGCTCAGGCCAGGAGTGTCCGGCCGACAGGAAAGCCTTCCGGGCTTCAGCGTAATTGACTTTAGTATCGGTCATTTGGAACGAGATGCAAAACAGTACCGAAAACTCAATCTAAGTCCTATTTCCGTTAGAAGGTCTGCAAGCCATCCTCACTGTCCCGCAATCAGAAATCACAAGGGCTGTCTACGGATAAATAAAAGGAACCAAAGAGTCAAGAACGACTACGGAATTCATCTCTACAAAACTTTGAGGCACTCATTTTGTTTCCGAATGGCAGAAATCCTACTAGCTTGCGGCGCTCTGCATTCCGAGGGACTCAGGTTGTCTCAACGTGCTCCTGAGCTTCAACAGCGTTCCTATGATTTGATTTCACTCGATCTAAGGAGCGCTCAACAGAGGCCTATTGAACACCCCATCTTAGTTTGGGGTTTCCCTACTTCGATCCCCTCCGGACCTACGATTCGTATCTCCTCTTTGAGTTAGAATTGAACTGCGCCACTCTCTGATTAGTACTAGCACAGCGCGGACCGTCGTTCACTCTAGGCCGCGTACGAAAAATTCCAACCGGCGTAAGAACGATCTGTTGCGGACAGAAGGGGAAACATGGAGAGGTAGGAGACAGGATTGCAAGAAATTTGCAAGACATGAAGCTGAACTTTACGACGGATTTCAAATGTGACACAGGAATGAAGCTCGAGTAGGGCTGACCGTGATGAAGGATGGAGTATTAGAGAGAGTAAGGTGGACGGGGCGAATAGAGCGGTACATGCATTGTCGGAAAGCAGTGTGATGGGAGTGAGAATGCTTGGAAGTTGACTGTTTGAACGTTTTAACACACTTCTCGGGGTAACGATTATGTCGGGATAATTATGTTGGTACTCCTCTTGTATAATGATGATGATAGTTTTTGGTCCTGTCTATCGATGTCTCTGTCTACTCCAGCGGCAGCGTACCTTCACCGACCCAATAGCTCCACTGAGATCAGACCCCTACGGATTCTCGTGGCTAACAACGGCCTTTCTGCATGCAAATTCATAAGAAGCACCGCTAAGGCACAGTTGCAGCCGGAAATGTAGTCCTGGGGGGAGCGTGCCCTGCTTTAGCTCACAAGGGTAGGTGCATCGCAAGAGGCGTTGATCTGTACGTAATGGAGACCCCCGACGACCGCGAGGCAGGCCTGTCATACAGGGCTGAGCCCAACCCTCTGGTGCCTCCTGGATGCGGGGTCAGAGTGGTCCCTGTTGAGGCTCCTCCCGGTCCAGGTGCTAACAACTACGGCAACGTAGAGGTATGAGAAAGCCTTGGTCGTCAGTGCAGGGCTCACTGGTGCTGGCAGGTCATACGTAGATTAGCGGTCGAGAACGAATGCGATATGATTTGGCCCGGTTGGGGTCATGCTTCAGAGAACCCTGAGCTCCCCAAGGCCTTTGAAGACACCGGAATAGAGTTCATTGGCCCCTCCGCAGAGTACGGCAGCATCAGCTCATTGAGATTGGCATTGTACTAACTTTACTAGGTGCATGCGACTATTGGGAGATAAGGCCGAGTCGACGATTACTGCCAAGAAATGCGGAGTACCTCTCCTGGGAATCGATCCTGGGTGGAATGCTCGCTAATGTAGGTACCATGCATCCCTTGGTCCGGAGACTACCCGGACTTGGCTACAGAAGGCTTCGTGGCGGACTCTGAGGCAGCGGCGGAGTGCTGTGATAGAATAGGGTATCCATGCATGATCAAGGCTGCTATGGGAGGGGGAGGCAAAGGTGATGTGGCGGAGGAGTGGTATGGCGGCTATGGTCGAGTCAGGTATTCGGATGGTGTCCTGTCGAGAAGAAGTAGCGGACAAATTCGAGTTGGTCAGAGGAGAGATTCCCATCGGCGGTATCATGATCATGAGATGTGTCACTAGAGCTCGCCATTTTGAAGTTCAAATCTTGGCTGATAAGTAAGGCTGAGTCTTAGTGCTTATTACGGAATCCCTTCATTGCGACCTTGCAATCAATGATCAATGATGACTTCGATAACAATTCTTTTCTCTGGAAACTGCGTGAAAGTCTTTTTGAAAATGGTGTTGATGGAGTGTATTGGAGTTTCACCCGTTTCACGTGAAGTGGCGTAATACTCTGTGGAAAACGCGATATTCGCGCTATGCAGTAGTCGTGAAATACATCCCTCACTAGTGTTGTCATATCACCGTCGTGAAAATTCATTATATGAGCGGCGCACGACTGAGTTGATCTCATACGAAGACTGTTATGAAGCTTTCCATATAAATTATCAGATACAACAACGTTGTGGCTCTGAGTACTCGTGATTGCTCGCTCCAGCGCCGACAACAGAAAATGGTTGAGGAAGGTCCTGTGGTCCACACTAGTCATGAAAGAGTTCTCGAGATGCAAGATGCTGCTGCCAGACTTTGTGCGGAAGTTGGGTAAGAGATGGTATTCACTGGAGTGTGGCGATTCTGGCGGTGGGCAGGTATGTGTCGGCGGGCACTGTAGAGTTCTTATATGATCTTGATACGGATGAATACTACTTCCTTGAAGTCAATACGCGACTACAAGTGGAGCATCCAGTGACGGAGCTCCTCAGCGGCGTCAATCTACCAAACGCGATGATCCAAGTGGCTCTGGGAAAAACTCTCTATGAGATACCCGATGTCGCTGCATTCCTGGCCGATCCGGATCGCTATAGGTTCAAGGACAGACATGTGATGGCCTGCCGTATTACGGCTGAGGTGGGCCTCGCGGGCTGGGAATTTGAACTAACTCGCTTTCTGTAGGCGGCTGACGATGGCTTCCGACCGACTGCTGGTATAGTGGAGCGTGTGAAGTTGTATGAGGATCAGATCAGTTATGAGGAGCTGAATGAGGATGTTTTGTAATGATGGTATTGTCGTGGAGCTCGAGGGGCGTATTGCTGTTCCTCAGCCTTTACTATTTCTCTATCGCTGCTGATGGGAAAAAGAAGGCAGCTATCACCCAGTATTCTGATAGTCAATTCGGGCACATTTTCGTTGTTGGTAGGAGGGTTGGAACGACCAGTGAATATAGCAGAGTCGTGTGCAGGCTCGGACCGTCGTGATGCTGTGCGGCGAATGGTAGAAGTCCTTCGTAACGTAGAGGTTGTGGGAGAGGTGAAGTGCAGTGTTGATTACATCAGGGAAGTAAGTGAAGTTGTGGTCTCTTGTGCGCGGTTTCCACGGGACAAATACGTATGCTGGTATCATTTATGTTCAGCTGAGGAGTTGGTGAGAATTTTCACATTTATTAGGGTAGAAGTGCATCAAAATCAAGGAAAATTTTTCATATTTTCGTATGTTTTTTTAGTGCTTTTGAAGCATTGGTTGCCATTAATATCACATTGAGTTTAGTGTGATCTCTTAGGTGATGCGTACCAGCGAGTTCGAGAACGATACTTACCATACCAACTGGTTGCTTTCCCCCACAGAAGGCCAAAGGGTCATCACCAAGGCGATAGCGATGGACTCTGTTGTCAACGGCAGTCTGGTCCTGGCCAAGGTCGGTGTTGCCGCATCGATATGCAAGTGAGGGCACCACTGAAAGGCTCCTATGCATAGAACTTCCCGTCAGGTTCCTGTATCGATTCCTCCGTGCTGAATCGCAATTTGCGGCGAAGTTGTCTGCTGCACAGCTTCCAGCGCATTTGGCGACTACTATGCACGAGGATATTGTTCTTGGGAAATGTGGCAGGTTGCCTTATAGACCCTGCAAGTTCCTATCACAAGTGTCGGCTACTGGCCCTAATTCTTTCTGTGTCACCATACAGATGCCTGATGGAGAGAAGACTGTGATACCCTACTTACATGCTGAACCTGTCTCGGGTGAGGTATACGAATTCCGACTGAGTGGCTGGCAGTTCAACTCGACTGGTCAACGGGTTGTCTTTGCTCCCCATGGCGAAATGCTGACGATGTACTTTGGTGAGTGCAAGAGCGAGTGTTGGGAGATCATACGGGAAGTGGATCCACATGAAGTCCGCTCGCAAATGGCCGGTAGTGTTCATTCGTTGAAGGTATCTGATGGTGATCGCGTGGTGGCGGGGGAAATCATCTGTCAAGTGGAGGCGATGAAAATGTTCATGCCGATTCTCATGCCGTTTACTGGGGTCATCAAGTTCAATGTGGCGCCGGGCAGCACGTTGAAAGTTAACGACTTGATAGCTACGCTTAGCGACTTGGAGGTGGACGATCCGACTCAGTTGGAAGACTGCAAGCCCCAGGTGTATAGCGATGCTAAGGTGTTGCATAAACGTCGAATGTCGGTGCAGTTTGACCCGAACGATGTGGAGAACATTATGAAGGGCTACGAGCTCATTGGAATGAGCGCTCATGAATTCGTAGGGAAAGTAGCTGAGTACGTCTTGAAGCAAGGAGAGATGAGTGATGGTAGTTTTGATACTACTACTGCTGAGAACATTCTCAATATGCTAATTCGGGTAGAGGATCCAGCTGATGAGATGCTCGATCATTTGAGCCACATGAATCCTGGTGCTTCCCGGTTGGCGTTGTCAGTGGCTAAGGCAGGTTTGGTTGATCCCAAAGATATGGACCTGCTGATGGATATCGCTAGGAGTCGTCGAAACACGAGGCTGCGTGTGGACATCGCGATGTGTGTCATAGCAGTACTGTGGGAAAAATCGGCTTGGGTGGATGCTCTTGAGAAAATCCGAAGGTGGAAAACGGCCGATATGGAAAACCTTAAATTGGCGGCTGGCGCTCTCACACTCAGAGCTAACGGTGTCACCACGAGTGACACTCTGGTTGAGCCAGTACTCACGGTGATCGACGAAATACCACTGGGGAGAGCGGATGCTAGCACTGACAGCCCCAACGAGCTCAGCAGTATGAGTTCTGATGACAACTCTAGTATGGAGGGCGGCATGGTGAGCGGTTTGCCGATGGTTAAAAGCCCTTTGAAGCGGATGATCAGAAACGATAGTATTCGCAGTCTGTTTGAGAGGACGCTGGGCCGCAAGCCTTCTGTCATTGACAAGGTGTCGGGTGGTGTTACCTTAGAAGTGGTGAAAGATCTTTTCCCGGTCTCGAAGAGTGCTATTGCGGACCCCTACACCTACTACGCTCAGCTGAATTTCAACCTCCAGAGCGCCACTGGAATGCGCGGCTGTGATCCGGTGCTGTCGGGTGGTAAGAAGCTTGACAATTTGGTGGTCGCGAGTGTAGACTTGTCGAATCACAAGAGTTATGTGGCTGAGGTCGTGGCTATGTATCAGCGTATGCGTAGAGAGCTGACTATGGCTGGTCCCAGTCTTGGTGATCGCAGGACACATCTCAAGATTGAGGTGACTCCATATGGCTCGCTGACAAGTGTCACCGATGAGGTGTGCGCTGAGGCGTTGTGCACTGGTTTAAATGAGGGTGGCGAGTTGGTTAATAAGGAAGCCCCTGTCGCTAGTGTTGCTGTGGTGCTGGGCCCACACAGGAGGTGAAAATGATAATTGTATAAGTGCTCTGTTCGATACTGGTTTCGATCAGGTTCTTCTTCCATAACTCTGCAGTTGTGTCGGAAGCGAAGTTCGTCGAGCTGGTACTGTATCGCAATGTGCCGCCATATAGATGGCAAGAAATGGAGTGTTCACGGTTCGAGAATTACATCCTCACACCTTTGCCGTTGGGTCCATGCCCTAACGCCTACTCCCCGCTTTCCCCACAAGATGTCACTGACTTTGTTTCTGTCGTGAAGGCTACACCAAGGAGGGTCAATAAGGGTGAGCAGAGTAGAGCAGCGGAGGGGACCTGTATGGGGCTTCCTTAGATAAGTGGTCGGAGCCAATTTTGAGCGCCAGCGCGTTCGTGACGGGCAGCGTTGTGGGAAAGTGCCGGCCTACGGAGCCTGTGAAGCTGGTGGAGAGCGCGATGATCGCGGCATTGGATGCCCTCATGATCAACACTAAGGGACCTCGTAGGACTAAGCAGCAGTGCAATAGGTGACCTTGTGTGAATGGAAGAGAGCACATTTGAGTGTCGCAGGATGTACCTGTCCGTTTCCTGCCCTGATTGGGAAGACGGTGAAGACTCTGAGGATGAGGTGGACGGGATGGGTGACAACTCGGCTGTTTTGGGCCGATCCCTGAGCCAAGCTGAGAAGACTGTGGCCGCCGCGGTTCGAGGGTACTCCTCTGAGCTGTGGGCATACGCCAACCATCTCGAGGTGCCTCACTGCTGGGTACCATCTCCCTTGCATTGTCCTCTTGGTCAGGTCCGTCTGTCCTTTGGTCAGCATATGCCTATAAGGGTCTTCGTGAGAGGCACTCCATGGCGCCTTGACGTTACCGCTATAGCCTACCATGAGGTCCGCCATCCCACCACTGGAGTGCTACAGCTGAGGCGTCTACCTAATCCTGATGATGGTAGTCTTGCTGAGGACGACGGGGTGGAGGTAGATGCCCCGTTACAGCAACCAGCTGGTGTCACCGTGAGGCGGCATGCGGCTGAGCGGCTCGATGTAATGCCGAGTGGAAGAAATGTGGATGACAATCGTTGGAGTTTCAGACTACCTATGTGTATGATTTCCTGGAGCTGTTCGAGCAGGCCGTACGTGAGGAGTGGCGGAGGAAAAAGAGCGGTCACGAAGCACGTATTATCCTTTCCGAGACTAAGCGTTTTGTCAAGGTGGAGGAGCTGAGGCTGAAGGAAGGTTAGTTGGGGAGCTTCTGGGGGAGTGGAAGATATCGTGTATGGGAGTAGGTGTGGAGGATCCTCTTCGTAACAAGGACCCGGCCGAGATGTTGGAGTTTATGCCCAACTCTCCGGGGACCAACAATATTGGTATGGTTGCATGGAAGCTGACGATGAAGGTAGGCAGGCGCCTGAGGATTTGCTCGAGGTGTGGTATGGGGGCCTTCTCAGATGCCCGAGTGGCCGGCCGGTCGGGAGGTTTATGTGGTGGCGAATGACATCACGTTCATCCAGGGTTCGTTCGCGCCTAAGGAAGATGACCTCTTTTACTATGTCTCCAAGTTGGCCCGGCTCACTGGAGCTCCTCGGCTGTATATTGCTGGCAACTCTGGCGCAAGGCTGGGGATTGCCAAGGAGGTCTTCGCGAGGTTCAAGGTGGCTTGGCGAGATGGTGAAGTCGATTACCTTTATCTTGACAAGGAGGCCTATGAGGCTATACCCGAGTCAGTGAGCGGGGTTTGGGTCGGTGGTGACCGGTTCAAAATAAAGACTATTATTGGTAAAGAAAACGGCATCGGCATTGAATGCTTGTCGGCTTCGGGGCTCATCGCGGGTGAAACTTCCCTTACGTACAACCAGAATATGACCATGACGTATGTAACTGCTAGGACTGTGGGCATTGGTTCTTATCTGGCTCGACTAAGCCAACGAATAATACAGAAACGCACTGCTCCTATAATCCTCACTGGTTTCAAGGCGCTCAACTCGGTCCTTGGGAAGGAAATTTACACGAGTAATGACGACATAGGAGGCACTCATGTTATGTTCGGTAACGGCATCACGCAGACTACGGTTGATGACGACTTGTCTGGTGTTCGTGAGATGGTACGGAGGATTGGCATGCTGAGAGAACCACAAACGCAGTTGGGGAAGCTGCCTCGGCCTGCGGCACCCGACAGTATATTCGATAAGAATTCTTTCGAGGAGCAAATGGCTGGGTGGGCTCCTAGTGTGCGGGTGGGGCGAGCGGCAATTGGTGGTTCGCCTGTGGGTATTGTTGTTACCGCTCCAGAGACTACTACTGCGGTCAAGCTGGCTGATCCTGCTGATCTGAGCTCTGCTGAGAAGACTATCACGTATGAGCCTCGTGTCATGTACGCTGATGGGGTTTCGAAGGTTGCTCAGACTGTTAGTGACCTTATCACTGAGCAGTTGCCACTAGTTATGGTACTCAACACACGCGAGGTAGTCTTGGTTGTGATGGGAATTTCATTCAGATGGTCTTTACTCTCAGGTGGACAGCACAGACATTGAGATGAACCATGTAATATCCCAGCTCGTTGAGGAGCTGGTGCGGTTTGAAAAGGCGGGCAGGCCGCTCATCGTCTTGCCAGCTAGTGGGTGCCTCCTTTCACCTGAGGTTAAGACGGTCATAGAATCTGCGGCACCGAGTAGCTACATTTTCGATAACTCGTATGGTTCTCGCGATAAGTGGACGTGTAGTGCGCTGACCAATGGCGAGAGCTACTCGTGGAAGGACCTGCGCGGCTGGCTCGCGTGCTTCCTAGGATGTGAGCCGGAGCAGCTACTTGGGGTCAATGGAGCCAACGACGAGATTGATGAGATCAAAAGGGAACTGCTAGGTTATATTAAGGAAGGGTGAGTTGGGATGGTCGGTGATAGTATACGTACTGTCGTGAATGCGAATGGTTGAGTAAAGCTATTGTCACACACTACGGACCAACTGGAGTTTGATCTTGCAATTCTAAACGGCAATTCGGGGAAATGCCTATACCGCGGTTCGAACTTGGGAATGTCATTGGAGCTTTGCTTGTTGTATCAGGTACGGGAGTCTCGTCGAAAGTGTTGTTCAGAGCCAGAATAAGGGGAACCCCTTGGTGGCTAGCCCGTCGGCACTCAGCTTGTCCCACTATGCCTCGCAGCCACGTGGCCTTTAACTGTTGAAAAAACCCAGAATATATGGAATTGTATTAAGACTGTTTTTAGGGTATCGTTCACGCCCTGTACCCCACTGTTTCTCCTATTACACTGACACTGTACAATCACCTTGCTATGCTTGCGGTATGCCGTCAAGAATGCTATTTTCGGCGGAGGACACGCTCCTCTGGAGGCATTCTAATACTTTCGAATTATGAATTGTACCAAACACTTACTTGGCTCCAACTTGCCATTCTGCCAGAGGTGGATCCTTCGAGCCAGCTCAGAAACCGTTCTCTTGTACCCGTTGGGCTCGAGTTGTCTGATACAGCAACAGGGGTCGGTTTTTTGGCTATATAGATTAGCGATATGGTACCGTCGTACCGCCATGGTGTGCTTATCAACAACTACAGTGAGGATCTCTTCGGAGTCGATCTGTATAAAAAGAGGTGGTTCCGGGGGTTAGACGGTGGGAAGTTAGTTTGGTAAAAGTCAGGTTGAGTGGGCAGCTAGTTGAAGACCCCCAAGTCATCGCGGCAAGGCAGTGTACGGTTCACTGCTTCTAGCTGATCTGAGAGTATCTTCAGGCTCGATGTCGCATTGGGCCCATCGGTGGCAACCAATTGAGCCTCATAGCTCGGTACCAGACGCGCAGACGGCCGAGGCTCAGGATAGAAGGTAGTGAGGTCATGGTTGGCTTCGTGACGGAGAGGCTCTTGTAAGGTTATGCGTTCCACAGCATTTGCTGTTTGGGCATGCTGGTGACGTTAATAAGGACCCGAGGAGGAATTTGCAGAGGAGGGAGTTTTACACTAGTCATCAGTTTTTCTATCAGAACCCAGACGTGAGATTTCCCCACGTCCTTCCTTGTGAACGGAGCTTTGGATTTTCTCAGACTGGAGGGAAAATTAAACAAGTGCATAGAAAGCCGAGTGAGCTCTTCCAGGCAAACCCTGAAAATCTGGGGGTAATATTCAGTGTGATCCTTAGCTGTAGTCGTTCTTGTATGTAGGAGCACGCGCCGGTCTTGACGAGTTTGGTTGAGCGAAGTCGTAGTAGATGGGCTGAAGAAGTGGCAGAGGAGCGGTAGGGGCTGTTTTGAAAGTGGTGGTTTTCAGGGAAGTTTGGCAGGTTCGCAACCACGAATTCGCTTAGTTATCGGGGAGCAAATTCGAGCGCATCAGAAGGTAGTGATGAATTACTCACGACTTGATGCAATTCGACTTTGAGGTACATCTCGTCACCCTAAGAAGACGGGTGAGTTCACAGCGACTGTCCGCAAGAACTACCATAAGATCGGCTTACGTGAGGCTGGAGCCGCTGGTTGAAAATATCCGTTCATGGTTCGTGTTGTTATCGTGGATTTAAATGTTGTCGTAAAAGGTATAGTTGAGTTCCAAGTATTGGCAGTGTGGAACATTGTTTGACCAGTAAGGCTTTTGTCTAGAGTGATGACGAGGAAGAGCCGCCCGAAGAAGGGCGTCACACAGGCTGATCTCAAGCAGGTGGATATTGATGCTGAGTTCAAGTCCTCTAGCTCCTCTGATAGTAGCGAATCAGAGAGTGAGGACGATCAAAGTGAGAGAATAGTGCCTCTTAGGGCCGTATTTGAATCCTCTGTCCAGGCCCTGAGTCGACCCCTGAGATGCTGATGCGAGCTGCAGCGGTGGGCGGAGAGTTGGCAGGGCAAATGACGAACAAGTGGATCAGTGATAACCAGACTGGTAGGTAGTTGGTGATGTGCTGTTGTATGAATGGGAGTCAGGTCTGAAGTACTGCTATAGTGGCAGTGAGAAGAAGATGTACATGTGGAATCCGCAGTCGCAGTCTATGTATCAATGGAAGGGTCGAGGGAGCATAAAATTCCTCTGGCAAGCCGATCAAGGGTCAGCAGGACAGGGCCAGTCAGAGGCCGTAGAGACAGTAATGGTGATGGCGGATCAATGTAAGCTCGGAGCCAACCTTGGTAGGCCCCTGCAGCTTCCGCTGAGGATCGGGTTGGTGAACCAGAGAAGGTTTTATGGATAACTTATGTGAGTCGAAGAGGGTAGGACTCGAATGACAGTCGTATGGGATTGACAGCTCTTGAGCGGACTGCTCCTTAGCATCGATTTCGACTAGTATACACTGTGTAAGGGGTTACAAATACAATACATAACACGATTAATAGTAAAATGGAGATGCACCCGCGTTAGCGAAAACCACATCACGAGTTTCATTTTGCGGAAAATCGCGAGAAAAGGTAACCCGCGAAAACCGTCCCAGTAGGCCTTCAGAAAAGGTGACATTCAGTAGCGTCTTTTCGCGATGTGATAAAGTCGATTTTCAATTCGCGGTTTCGATGATTATCATACCGGGATGAACGGGTGCATCTCGATGTGTACGGTGAACCATGCACGGCTAAAACAGGAGATGGGGGGCGGTCGGGACTCGGGGTGAATCTATTGAGGCTCATACAGATTCCGTCATCGTATTTATGGGGAGAAGACAGTCGGAGGGATACTCCCTCTCCTGAGGAGTCTGTCACCAGCGATACCCAAGGGGCAGCCGAGACGGAGGAATCCGACTATGGTTCGGTTACGGAACCCAAACATAAGAAAGCGAAGACAGCGGCTGATGATGCGTCCGTGAGTTCACTTACAGCAACGGGATCGTCGATTGTTGCATGAGCAGATGCTCATGAAATGCGACTCTAGAGTGCCTGGCTTCAAGGACTTTGCCAAACGTTGGGCTATTGACGTCAACATTCTGCGTCACTTTGCTAAGCATGATGGAATGCTCATACGACACGTTATAGAATCATTCAAGCCTATCAAGGCTAAGGCCAAGAACGCACTGCAGAAGTGATAAAGTCTTGTCGCATTTCCCGTGATGAGATGAGCGATTCAGATATCTGCAAGGGCTCATGAAGTACCCTCAAAAATGGAGGATAGTGGCGGCGTGCAGGCAAGCTGTGCTGATAGAGGAAGCGGAGGGGGAGACTCGGGAGCTCTTGCCTCCCCGCTCGGTGCTCGTTGGTACGCCACTAGTTTTATGCTCACTTCTAACCTTGCGATGTTGCTAGGTTCAGCTGAGGAGGATTTGGCGCAGACCAGTGATGAGAGTGTCACTCGCTTGGTGATTCCGGCTGGCTCGGGTCAATATGTGTCACCTGAGCACTTCCGAATCTTTCCTCTTGGAGATGATTTCTATGTAGGATTTGACATAAGCGTGGTATCAATCTCAGTATGTCCCGCTGCAGGTCCAGGATCTCGGCAGCAACTACGGTATAACGGTGGACGGCTTGCGCTATAGATCAGCAGATGGGCCGATAGGGCCTCTCAAAGATGGTGATGCAAGATTCTTATTGTCCGAACCAGTGTTTGGATATACGCTCGTTTTCATCAGCTGAGCTCGAGAGTTCCCCGAATCATAAAAGTTTACATACGAATCCAGTCTACAGAAACCAACCAAGAATTTCCCGGAGTTTCCCCTGGTTCTTTCGTGTTGCCACTAACACACGTGTTCCTACACTGGTCTGAACTGATCATTGATTTTCAGGATCAATCGTTTCGATTGGCGGCGGGTCACAACATCAGCCTCCTTTGTTTCTCTGTGAGTTCGCCACTGCTGAGGAGTTGCGGAAGAGGCGAGTCGAGGCAGAAACACCTGCGACCGAGGGGAACAGTGATGTGACACCCGAAGGGGATAGTGTATCGAAGGAGAGTGCCTCTGAACAAAATGTGGCGACCTAATCTCTATCATTTGCTGGCTTGTTGGGTCGAAGAGGTTAATCGGGGAGGAATTACTAAAAGTGAGGATTTGGATCGAGTGCTGTAGTTAATGACTACAACACCGAACGATCGTCTACCCTTGCAAATACTCCTCCCAGAGCAGTTTCAACGAGCTGAGGCCCGGAGTCAGCTGCTGAAAGAGACTTGCAAGCATCAGCGGATTCCTATAGACTCATCAGTGCTCAAAACTGCGGGCTGCAAGGCGATGCTTGATACCATGTACAAGGACGACAACACTCAAGTGAGGCTAGCAGCTCACAGTACTCCGCCCAGCTCTTTTTTCAAGTAGTTCCTCCAAGCAGTCACGCGAGTGGCCAATGCTCTCTCTGCCTCTGCTGACGACCTTCGTCATGAAATCAACCTAGTGGGCTCGCAAATACGAGATGATATTAGTTCAAAGTCCACCGCAGGTGTTTTGGTTCTGTGCACACTATGGTCGATTGGAATGCATGAAAACTATAGCAGCGAAACTTCCCATTGACCTCAACTACGTTCACAAATGCGGTCACTCCGTGAACTCGTACATCCCCTAGCTCTTTTAACACCTCCTCAGGTCATCGTGCGTGCGATTCTCAATGACCACATTGGTGTAGTCGAGTGGCTTCTCTCTGCTGGAGTGCAGCATGCAGCTTTCACAGGTTAGCATCAGGAAGGCTAGTTCAGCACGAGCTTCGTCTCAGACTCCAAATTCCTAGCAATCTGCTCGCACTCTGGGGCCCAGCGAACAGTGAGTGGAGAGTCTCCACTGGAGACGTGCCTGGCTCCCTGCACTATGCTGATGCTACTTTGTCATGTTAGGTTGACTTCCTACGTGGTTATGTGGGAGCAGATATTCAGCAATCGGTTCCGTTCCCGATGGAAGGAGTAGCTGCTGACACTCTGGCATGAATATCTCTCATTGGGCGCGCTCTGTAAACTTCTCAAGGTTCGAGCGCGATACTGTTGTGTTTGAGTCACCATGTACGAGGGAACCGCAGCCTTACTGTACAACATGGGACCTTGCCTTGGCTCATGGGGAATCAACATTCTCATATCATTCCGGGCACATTGATGCCCTTGATAGCCTGTCAACTCTGGCTCCAGTGATCCTCTAACCATTTACACTGTGTAAACCAGGGGAACTTTGATAGAGTTAGTCGACTAGGTGGTGTGGAGAGGACCGAAGACTTGCAGGGCTCCCCCCTGAAGCTTCGGTCACGGGACAGGTGCCCGACTAGGTGGTGTCGTATCAACGACTCACGTCTCACACGGGTCTGTCCCGTCACCCAGTCCACTAAGAAAAAAAAAACTGTCAGTTACTAATAACTTTCCTTCGGAATCCTCGGATTATTGAAGCACCTGCGAGCGACCAAGCTCGCTCGCCCATCGAATCACTTCCTCTGGAGTTGACCCTAGCCTCTGGCGAGACTTTCCATCAACTCTGGCTCCAGTGATCCTCTAACCATTTACACTTAACCAGGGGAACTTTGATAGAGTTAGTCGACTAGGTGGTGTGGAGAGGACCGAAGACTTGCAGGGCTCCCCCCTGAAGCTTCGGTCACGGGACAGGTGCCCGACTAGGTGGTGTCGTATCAACGACTCACGTCTCACACGGGTCTGTCCCGTCACCCAAATCTCTCCACTATCCACCGAACTCTTGGCTTTACCAGAAACTTCGATGACACAATCGATTCATGTTTTTTTTTATCCCCTCCTCTCGCTGTAGTCCTTATTACCTATTGACTATTTTTTTCTTCTTCTGTTGTGTCCCTCGTGCAGCGCATCAAGGCTCCTTTGGCGTAGCCTTGCCAGGCTCTACTCGATTGACTCGAACCGCCTTCACACTTCACTGTGCTATCCTCGCATCCCGAATCTACCAGAATTGTGGCTCCACTATGCTATAGCTATGTCAGCTATAGGATTTATACCTGTTAGGGCTTTAACTGCCTCGTCCGGTAGAACTCCTGCATTTCCCGGAGGCTTGGATCTATGCGCTAAACGATTTTGGCCTCCTTTAATTCCTTTCTCAACGATGGTCATCTCTTCTAGGGTGAAACTTACTCATGAACACACCTCCCTAGTCGTCTTTATCGCGCTAACATACTCCCGCAATGCTTCTGGAGAGATATTGGCTTGGTCAACGAGGACCCGACCATACCGTTGAGTTTCTCAAATGGCTCACCGCCGAGCGGTAGCTCCTCTCCGTACTCTCTCGTGTGGAGTCTGCTAGTAGTGCTGCTTTCTTTTCTCTCTGATTTCGTCAACACTCGGAAGGCCTTCATCGCCTCCTACTCGGTCGATGATCCACTCCCATTATCTGCCCTATATTTTTTTTTTGTTTTGACGATTGAAGGACTGCTAATATCCATCGAATGCCTCTCCTTCGAAACACAACCGGTAGTTTCTGAAAGAACCTAATCCATTGTCTCCCCAAATTCAATTGCTCCGCCTCTTGCTACGAGCTCCTGAGCAACGAAGGTACTCCCCAGTGGACCTTCAGTGAGGATACCTCGCTCTTCCCAATTGTTGGTCAGGCAGTTCGTCAGAGATTATAACACTGACACACTTTTGAAACATCACCAGACATCATACGCACTTTAGCCAGATAGCATAAGTACTCCGCTTTCCTGGCACGGTGGCACTTCTTTGTGGCAAACATGATACCTCTACCGCTACCAGCCAACCACAAAGCACTGAGATGAGCTCACTGAAGCAGCACGGCTCTCTCATACCCGGTCGGATCTTCACTTGAACAGACTCGCTGTCTAAGCATTAACTTGTCTGAGACTAGTAGTCTCTGTCGACTCCTGGGTATCCGCTGCATCACATGGTATACGCATCGTACGAAATACACCCGGATCTGCCAAAAGTGCCGAGAGCATAGGAGGGTCTACCAGTAGGTTATTAGTCACGAGAGCACGATACTTGGTTGTTGATCTCCTCAAGAACTCCCCTCTAACTCTCGTAGGTGGAGCACGTTTACCCGAAATTGAGTCCACCACCTTCTTGACCTCCCCTTTTAAGCGCATCAGCGATACCTGAGGTTGCGTTGTCAACTTCAGATCTAACACACACTGGTCACTTTTGAGTGTCTGTAGCACTCGCTACTTCAGGAGAGAACCTCTTGTAGAAAGTCGCCAAGAGCGTGTCATTGGTCAGTAATCCTTCAAGATCGGTCACCCTGTCGATGTTCTTACCATGGAATGTGCCGACTGCTCTAGTAGCTAGTTCAATGGTACAGTCGGCTCCTGGTACTCTCATTTCCGCTATGCACGTATCCTACAGCGTGCCCGTTTCGACACAATTTTTGTCGCCGACTCAATCTTACTGAATCCTCATACTGAGGGTTGAATCCGCGCTCGGGGATATTTTCTCTACTTGGAATTCCCACTCCCAAGCCTCTCAGCGAGAGGCTCTCAAATATAATACCGTCAACTGGGTCCTCGCACTGAGGATAGCATGTGCACTCGAAGATGCGTTCTCGAACCTCTCGCTAACAACTTGGCCAACTAGACACTCCCACTGAGTATGGGATCAGCTTTGCTGACGCGTTCCTGAACCTCTCACTAACAATATGGTCAACTAGGCCCTCACCACGGGGATAGGATCGGCGCTCAATGACGCGTTCCTAAACCTCTCACTTATAACACGGCCGAACCGGCACTCTCACTGAGAATAGGATCTGCGCTCAATGACGCGTTCCTAATCTTCTCATTGACAATAGGTCAACTCGACACTCACACCGAGGGAAGGATCTGCGCTCGATGACGCGTTCCTAAGCCTCTCACTGACAATAGGCCAACTCGACACTCACACTGAGGAAAGGATCTGCGCTCGATGACGCGTTCCTAAGCCTCTCACTGACAATAGGCCAACTCGACACTCACACTGAGGAAAGGATCTGCGCTCGATGACGCGTTCCTAAGCCTCTCACTGACAATAGGCCAACTCGACACTCACACTGAGGAAAGGATCTGCGCTCAATGACGCGTTCCTAATCCTCTCACTGGTAATAGGCCAACTCGACACTCACACTGAGGAAAGGATCTGCGCTCAATGACGCGTTCCTAAGCCTCTCACTGATAATAGGCCAACTCGACACTCACACTGAGGAAAGGATCTGCGCTCGATGACGCGTTCCTAAGCCTCTCGTCTATAACATGGCCGAACCAGCACTCACACTGAGGATAGGATCTGCGCTCAATGACGCGTTCCTAATCCTCTCACTGACAGTAGGCCAACTCGACACTCACACTGAGGAAAGGATCTGCGCTCGATGACGCGTTCCTAGGCCTCTCATCTATAACATGGCCGAACCAGCATGCACACTGAGGATAGGATCTGCGCTCGATGACGCGTTCCTAAGCCCCTCGTCTGTAACATGGCCGAACCAGCACTCACACTGAGGATAGGATCTGCGCTCGGTGACGCGTTCCTACACCTCCATCCATTAATACGGCCAACAGGATCTTCCTAGACTTCAGTAGTACACTTGTGCTGTCAATGTACAACTCCCAAGGCGCTACTCGACCAATTATGACCTTCAAAGTCAACGAGCATGTAGGATAGAATGTGCTGGTCATATATCCCGACGGATCGACTACCGAAAGATCCTAGGGAAAAAAAAACTGTCAGTTACTAATAACTTTCCTTCGGAATCCTCGGATTATTGAAGCACCTGCGAGCGACCAAGCTCGCTCGCCCATCGAATCACTTCCTCTGGGGCCTATTTCACAAGCGTCCTAATGTTAGGATTTTAACCCATTAGGATGCAATTTAAGGATAAATGGCGTTCACAAGGGCCCTTTCCTTAGGTTGGGTTAGGACTTTAGGACATTAGGATCCTTACCGTTAGGATTTAGGATATTAGGATGCCTTTATCCTCAAAAACAGGCTGTTAGGACGCTCGGCTTTCACAAGCTATATTTTTAAGGAAATTTTCATCCTAATGGTAAAGTACCTCGGGGGGTACTTTACCGACCATCCTAACGTTAAAGGTATACAAGACGACTCGCTACGTTCCGCCAAACAGTCGTTGGTTCGAAACTCTGCGAGCACATTTTTAAATTAATTTGTAACTTGCACAAAAATCATACAACTATTAACAAAACTCTTTACCAAGTTCGATACTTATCTGAAGCTTATAAACTTCGTATGAAACTCCTTACAAATGCTAATCTTCGGTAGAGTCAAGCCTTTTTTTACTGCAAGACCCCTCCATATCAGAAGACGTTAAGGTCCATAATGGTCCATTACTGGATCATTCATTACGCGTATCAGTTGATAATAAAAGAGGTCTTATCTGTTAAATCTGCTGAATGGCGCCTTGTGGCACTATCTTTGTCGGATTCTTATTTAGTTTATATCAAGTATAAAATGGTGGGGTGGTAGAGTTTGCGGCTATAGTTCGACCGATCCAGGTTCGATTCGTAGTTGTATAATGTTTTACGTTGTGTTTAATTGCCGTTAGGAGTCCTAATATCTTCAGTTAGCACATCCTTACGTTAGGTAAGGACGTCTTTAAGTATAGGATCCTAACGTTAGGTAAGGAAAATCTTGTGAAATAGCCTTAGTTAGGTAAGGACGTCCTAAGGTTAAAATCCTATACGTAAAGACGTCCTAATCTAAGGACGCTTGTGAAATAGGCCCCTGGAGTTGACCCTAGCCTCTGGCGAGACTTTCCAAAAAATCGTCCTTGCTGGAGAGAAATCCATAGGAGATAGCGCGGGATCACTGTGTAAATCAACACGCAGCCGAGGTCTGAAACTCCGCATTTTCGACGAGAGCTGTTCCACAAGACTCGCACCATGCAAGAGTCCTACAAACACAAAACCTAACGAGCTCTTACGCCCTCCGCCGCACCGTTTCCTTAAGGGGCCTCAAATCACAAATCCTTGTGAAATAGACCCCAGAATAGCAGGCATTGGAATGGGTCATTGCCTGGCAGTGCCGGGCTGGCACATTATCCAGCGGTAAAAACTCTTGGTACAAGAGTGAGAAGGGGAGGAGCACACAACCCTTACGCTATTGGCAGTTTGGAAGTTAGTGCTCTTCCATGTCACGATGAGACAGAATCAGGCGTCGACTCAGCAGGCCTCGAGCAAGGGTGGCAAGAATATTGACGTAGGTGTATATTTTGATCCTGCCCTCGTAGAGGAGGATCTCTCAACTCTTGTACAGTCTGCAGGATACAGAAACAAACAGGTGGACTTAGAGATAACGAGTATTATAGATTACAGTACGAACTTGAACTGTTAGTGCAAGTTCACAACTGGGTTACAACTCAACAGTGTCCTATGAGCTTGGGAACGAAGTTTGAAATGTTCTGTGTCAAGATCAAGACAGCTTATAAGATAGTTCTACGAGCTGAGCTCGTCAAATCGGCAAATGTAAGGCGGTTCTTGGTGTGTAAACGACGGTAAGCCAAAATCAGACCTGAAACAACTTCTGTGTCGACGCACAGGATTTGTAAATGTCAACAGTTGATGTGGACCTCATATTGGAAGTTTGAACTCCTTCTTAACGACCTCGACAGTGGGCGTTAAATCGATGAGGGGATCCAGCCAAATATGCAATTGACCCTCGCCAACGAGCTCCCAAGTGAACAGGTCGCCAGTCTTGGTATTCAGCGAGAGATCGAAGGCGATAGATATGCCTGCATCATCAGAGTCTCCAGTAGTTTCTTTGAACAGGGCATCGAACCCGATGTCGTAATTCGGACCATTATGGACCGTGACCACCTTGGAGATGGGCAGATCAATAGCGTCTTCTCCGAAAATATCGGCTTGGGCATCTGCATGTACTTCGATGTCAGCAGTCCATCTACCGGTTGCAGGGTCGTACTTTCCTCTACCATCTCCTACGGTATCAGCACTTATAGTCACAGCGAAGACAACGGCTCCCCAAAGCTCCTCTTTTTCCACCACCTTAGCGCTGCCTCCACCCGTGATATTGAGGCCGGCCGGCTCCGTACCATTGGTGGCCAATTCGATGTGGAAATATACAGACTTGGTGGGATCGTCAACATCAAAGATATAGAAGGTTATATTCAGCTTGAACACATCTGATAAGTCCATAGTGCCTACAGCACAGAACGGTTCAGAGGCCGGCTTGTGAGCACCGGTACAGCCCGCTGGATATGAAACAGGTGAAGCTGCCGCGGGCCTTAGCCTGACCGAGCCCTCGACCAGGGAGGCAAATCCACACGTCAATACCAGAAGTATCATGATCCTCATCACAGATACAATGACCACGTTGGAGTGTGAGGACGATAGTGCAGCACAACGTTGCTAACACTCTGATTGTCCTCACAACGATCTCTCTTGACCATGCGTGTACGACGTCCTGAGACGTCCACTGAACAGTTGTTGCGAAAACAAAATTAGTTCTAATCATTGTGACACTGTCAACGAGAAGGGGTGCATTCGATGTGGAGGCTATTTTCTTACAACCTGTCCTTGGGAGGATAGAGGACTAGCCAGCATCTCCTACCTAGGGTTGTGCGTACGATGAGTTGTACACGTGTTGTGGGAATCCAGCTTGCGTGAGGGTTGTTGCCAGCCCCTATGTCAGACAATCTTGTATTCCGCTGGAGTCTATACCATAAGAGGGTGGTACTGTAGGTTCCTCAAAAGCACATCGTTATCAGGGCGAAGTTGTCGATGTCCGTGAGCAGGTAGTGGACCCTACTGCATGTAACGGGTTCAAGGTGCTGTAGCGGAAGAGGGTGATGTGAGAGGAAAGCCCAAGGACTGTATAACACAAGTGCTGATGAGCTTGTGGAGGTAGCTGAGCCACGAAGACTTAGGGGAGTGACTCAGAAGGAGAGGGGAGGGTAACGTGTGTTCATCATTAGCTATGAATCTCAGGAAGCACGCAAGCACATAGATGTGCGCAGAATCCCATAACATGCAATATGATTAACAACGAATCGAGTTCGTGAAAGCAATGCGACTACTGGAGTACTTCAGGAGGTAGACAGTCTAACGAGCACAGACAGAGTCAACAAGTGCAATCTGGCATATCAGACGAGGGGCAAGAGAGAGGCGAGCCCACATGCCAACACCAGTGACACCAAATCTTTGCTTTTCTCGAAGTCTAAGAGTAGCAAAGATTTGGTATTACGAGATGTTCAATACTTGAACCAACCCGAGCAGAGTACATCATCGGGATGCAAAAGGCTTGGTACACATCAATGGACGTTAATCAGGCCAAGCAACGACAATAGATAACTCTGAGGGACCTCTTACGCTTCACGAGATAAGTATCTATATAATCTGTTGTCTGAGATAAGAGATCTCAGATAACTCAATGACGACCGAGCCGAATGTCGGGCGAACGAGTCGCTTTAGAGGTTTATACATCAAATATCGTGTGCCGTAGCTCCCTGAGTTCGTTTGGCTGAGCTCACACTGCGTTTTAATGCGTAACGATATTGTGGATAGTTTGGCGAAGTAAGGCACTGAACTGGAAGCTTACATGAGGAGGCCATCCTTGCACCTTGTAGGGTAAGGAGCCTTACGGTGAGGAGCCTTATGCCACCTTACCTTACGCCAACCCCCAAATGGTATGTATGGATGTGAAAGCGACTTGCCATGAAACCATAAGCTACCTTACAATTTTTGCTCCTTATGAGGGCTTGTGAGACAGGCCCCGGTGAGTGTTGCAATCGACTCGCTACAGCGCACGCAATATGATATCGATTAACCGAGAACACAATACATTACACGCGTGCACTCCCTTCCTTCGTGTTTTTACTGTCGCTACGTTTCATTGAGCTCTCAACTAAGAATCACTCCGAGAGACTTTGGTTAGCATAAGTTTCCCCATAAATCCTATAGAATCTATAATATAGACGCCCTCCACTTCACACAGGAATTGTGTGACATGTAGCGTCGGCCGGCTCAAACCCCGGAGAAACTGGTGGCAACTCAACCCCTCCGCCCCTTGAAGATGGGGTCTCAAGTAGGTTGTGTGAGTTAGGTATCAGAAGATGGGATATGAGAGGCTACACAGAGGAATGTAGGGTCATAACCCGTAACGACGCCGAAAAGACTTAGCAATTAATGCCTCATGGGAAAGGGTGCAACGAACGGGGCTGATCGTTCACGTGTCGCAATCGGCGTCACGATATTGCGCGCGTGAAGAACACCAGACCCTCAGAGAAGCCCTTGGAGTGGGGAGTCGACACATAGCCGCTCCTAGTATGGGTCAGGTCCTACACTGCAGACAGAATCAGGCGTCGGCTCAGCAGGCCTCGAGCAAGGGTGGCAAGAGTATTGATGTAGATGTATAGTTTAATCCCGCCCTAGTATAGAGGGATTGGATAGTATTTCTCAACTTTTGAACAGTCTGCAGGATACAGAAAAAAACAGGTGGACTCAAAAATAACGAGTACTGTAGATTACAGCACGGGCTTGAACTGTTAGTACAAGTTCACAACTGGGTTACAACTCGACAGTGTCCGATGAGCTTGGGAACGGAGTTTGAAATGTTCTGTGTCAAGATCAAGACAGCTTATAAGATAGTTTGACCTGACGCGCTGAGCTCGTCAAATCGGCAAATGTAAGGCGGTTCTTGGTATGTAAACGACGGTAAGCCACAATCAGAACTGAAACAACTTACGTGTTCACGCACAGGATTTGTAAATGCCAGCAGTTGATGTGGACCTCATGTGGAGAGTTTGAACTCCTTCTTAACGACCTCGACAGTGGGCGTTAAATCGATGAAGGGATCCAGCCAAATATGCAATTGACCCTCGCCAACGAGTTCCCAGAAGAACAGGTTGCTCTCCTTGGTATTCAGCGAGAGATCGAAGGCGATAGATATGCCTGCAGCATCAGAGTCTCCAGTAGTTTCTTTGAACAGGGCATCGAACCCGATGTCGTAATTTGGACCATTACGGGCCGTGACCACCTTGGAGATGGGCAGATCAATGGCATCAGCTCCGAAAATATCGGCTTGGGCATCTGCATGTACTTCGATGTCAGCAGTCCATCTATTGGTTGCAGGGTCGTACTTCCCTCTCCCATCTCCTACAGTATCAGCGCTTATAATCACAGCGAAGACAACGGCTCCAAAGAGCTTCTCCTCTTCCACTACTTTAGCGCTGCCTCCACCCGTGATATTGAGGCCGGCCGGCTCCGTACCACGGGTGGCCAATTCGATGTGGAAATATACAGACTTGGTGGGATCGTCAACATCGAAGATATTGACGGATAGAGTCAGCTCTAACACATCTGATAGGGCCGCAGTGCCTACAACACAGAACGGTTCAGAGGCCGGCTTGTGAGCACCGGTACAGCCCAATGGATATGAAAGAGATAAACCGGATGCCGCGGGACTTAGCTTGACCGAGCCCTCGACCAGGGAGGCAAATCCACACATCAATACCAGAAGTATCATGATCCTCATCGCAGACACAATGACCACGTCGGATTGTGAGGACGATAGTGCAACACAATGTTGCTAACACTCTGATTGTCCCTACAGCGATCTCTCTTGACCATGCGTGTACGACGTCCTGAGACGTCCAATGAACACTTGTTGCGAAAACAAAATGAGTTCTAATCATTGTGGCACTGTCTATGAGAAGGGGTGCATTCGATGTGAAGGCTATTCTCTTACAACCTGCCCTTGGGAGAATAGAAGACTTGCCAACATAGGCTTATGGGTACGATGAGTTGTACACGTGTTGTGGGAATCCAGCATGCGCGAGGGTTGTTGCAAGCCCCTATGTCAGACAATCTTATATTCAGCTGGAGTCTATACCATAAGAGGGTGGGCACTGTAGGTTTCTCGAAAGCACATCGTTATCAGGGCGAAGTTGTCGGTGTCCGTGAGCATGTACTGAATGCTACTGCATGTAACGGGTTCAAGGTGCTGTTGATGTCCGGCGCCTCCTGTCCGACAGGACCTGTCGTTTCCTTGTGTCACCACGATTCGAGATTAGCTGGAGAGGTGCGACCCAAACGTAGATTGAGACCTTGAGCCAAGATGGCTACGGACTTAAAGAGCTAGTAACGGTCAATGCTCATGATCAATAGTACAGAATGTATCCTATGCTCACACTCTTGTACGCAAGTACAAGGAGAATGTCTGTACACATGTACAAAAAGGTGACGCTCTCTGCCGCACAGACTGGTCGAGCATCAGTAGTGCTGTAGCGGAAGAGGGTTATGTGATACGGAGACTTAGGGGAGTGACTCAGAAGGAGAGTGAAGGGTAACGTGTCTTCCTGGGCCAAAGGCCTTCATCATTAGTTATGAATCTCAGGACGCACGCAAGCACATAGATATGCGCAGAATCCCAGAACATGCAATATGATTGACAGCGAATCGAGTTCGTGAAAGCAGTGCGACTAGGTAGACAGTCCAACGAGCACAGACAGAGTCAGCAAGTGCAATTTAGCATATCAGACGGGGGGGGGGCAAGACAGAGAGGCGAGCCCACATGCCAATACCAGTGACACCGAATCTTTGCTTTTCTCGGAGTTTAAGACTAGCAATGATTTGGCCCTATACCCCTTCCAAGTCGGAAGGTATACAGCAGCAAGGGGCATCACTACAACATAGCTAATCATATTGACTTCTGCGGTTTGCCATGGCGAAAGATATCTACCTTATCTGCGAGTATCCGTAATACATTGAGGCTGAATGGTTAAGCAATACGACAGCAACAGGATTCGAACCCTCGCCCTTGCGAGCTAGCGCCCAAAGCTGGCGCCTTGGACTACTCAGCCGAACTGCCGATGAGAATATTGACTCGCATATCGACCTTACTAAACAACATCAGTCCCATATAACCAAAATACATTCGAAGGAGCAGTGCGATCGTCCCGCGTCGTATATCGATGATAACTCAACTCCATCATATTCGTCGACGACGAATAACTAAGCTGGTTCGCAGTGTTGGTGGTGTTAATTCAATCAATGGGGCCTCCAGCTGATACCTCGTCCACCGCCAACCAGTGAACCTAAACCAGATAACCGATTCGAATCAGACGTGGTACAGACAGCAAGAGCTGCTATGGGACTCACCCTTCAGCGCTTTCGGATTGGCCCATTCGCTGGTCAAATAGGAATCATCTTCATCATTCTTTAAGGCCTTCTGCTCTTCCTGCTTCTTGTAATAGTAGGAGAGCATTGCCTTATGAGTCTCCTCATCCACCTGCGGGATCATACACCGAAAGCTAGACTAAGTGACTCGCTTCCTCCTTACTCGAGGCTCACGCACTGGTGCTCCCTGCGACGACGCCATCAGTTTAACGATGATCTTGGTCTTCTCGTTCGTGCCAATATAGTCGGACAGTGTCTTGCCGGATACTAATTCCTTACCAGCCCACCAAAGAGAGGACTGCGCCGGCTCCAATACGTCCTGCATGAGAGCATAAAGCTGCCACAGTCAAGGAACGAATGCAGCAAGAAGCTGGCCAATAAGATGATGCACCATCGGACGGTGACAAGGTACAACACTCCCAAGGCTCTTAGACCAAGGGACTTTACCCTTAACAGTACCTGATTCTCCGACTGACCGTCAGGATCCTCGGCGTTCTCCAGTTCTATTCTGGCAGGGTCGAAACTAGGCAGTCGATGGAATGCAGGGTATGCGATCATAACAGCACCCTGCATGCAGTCGAGCTGCTCTTGGATCGTGGCTGAGACACCATGAACAACTCTAATGCCCGTTCGAACAGAACAACAGACCCTCACCAAGATCGAGGGACTTCCTATGAGCCACCAGGCTATGACTAACAGCTGCCGAGGCTTCGTCCGCCGTACGTGTTAAAACTGCTGCAGCATGAGCCGGTGGTGGGCAGCCAGTGCGATAAGCATGCTCGTCCGGCGCCGTCGGCGTGCCTGTTTGAATGCTTCCATCACAACGAACATCTTAGTAGTCGAGACGATCACCATATGCATTGACGTCGAGATGGCTCATCTTGCCAACATCCTCACTCAAACCACGAGTCTCCTCTGGTCTCAGAGGACCGTGCTTCGCCAACTCCCTCAGGGCATCAGCCAGACTGAAACAGCGACACTCAACACCTAGCCGCTGCTCGCTCTTTCTTTTCCAAATTTCCGTCCGCCCAACCGGATCGGATAGTACCGAAGACATTTGATCCTCTTATTGTGAAGCTCCACCAACTGCCTCTTCAGATCGTTCACCGGAACACCAACGGTGGTCTCGAAGAGAAATTCTCCTTTGGGAGAAGATCGCTTGACGTGAAGCACGACCATCTCGAATTCAAGCTAGCAGACAACCACATGTCCCGAAACATTAACAACAGAACTCAACCATACAGAGAAAGTCCTACATAATTGGCTACATAATCGCATTATCATCGAAAGCGAGCGTCGATAAGGGGAGGCAGTGGAAGACCAAACTAGGAGAGAACTACCCAAGGAGAAGATGGACAGAAGACCCGCTGCCAGGAGCCAGGGCGGCAGTTCGAAACCTTCAAGGCTGGTCCTGGACCTCCGAAGCCTGCCTCCGAAGACCGACCCAAACGAGTAGAGCGGCGGCCAGCTAAAGAAGCCTGCCCACTTACTGCAGGAGCCATTTCGACAGATAAGGCAGATTAAGATGATTTGTTGCTTCACGTGATTATATGTAACATGTAGAATTGCTAATCTCGTGTCCAGCGTTGTGATGTTTAGTATACATCTCCCTTCTGAAAACCTTGAGCATGCGCTTACTGTGAGAGTATCTTACCGTTTCAAATGTGGTGCCCCTCTATCTCACAATGAAGTTATGAAGGTAAAAGAGTATTCTCCGACAGCTTTTGTTTGCATCAATGGCTGCAACGTCCACCGTTAACTCTAGTGGTATGGGAAGCAAACAGGGAGGTCGGCAACACAGAAAAACATGAAAACTTGTGTAAACTCGTTAACCCTTACTCTGCCCGAATTGGTTCAGAACACAATATTCAAAGATCTCCGCCCGAATGAATTTTCTCCGAATCATCTCCCCCGAATGTTACCAAACCTTAGGCGGCGGTAGACGCAACTCCGTGGCAGCAGCTGCGCCCAAACAAGCCCAATATCGCTCGCCGAGGGAAGTATCCGGGAAGCTCGAAATCTGATTTGTTATTGTTGAATATTGTTGCGCTATTGTTGAATCCACAGAATTGCTCATGCTGGCACTTCATATCCTCGCTGCAACAACATACTTCGTACTCCTACCTGCCCTGGGACCCCATTCTCACGAGGCTGAATCAAAGGTAACCTTCCTCCTCATTTGCCGCAAAAATTTTTGCTTGCAGCCGGAAGATGGGATGAGGGCCTATGACAACATGTGTGAATTTTCGATGGAAAACAAGCCGCTTCCTTTCCACAGAATCATGACTCTATCTTTCCACGACTTGCCCTCCCCATCTGCGAACCCGATCCGCCAAAGCGTTTACTCGCACAATCGTGGTAGCATGGGATTCTTCAGGTGCCGAGTCGAGTAAGAACGTGGGTGAATTCGAGTGACTATGATTCAGTGAATGGAGTGCTTCGTCTGATTTAGGTACAGTCCGAATATGCGCGAACTTTTTATCAGCTTTACCCCGGACTATCCTATCCTCACGTTCTCTTCAAGCACTAAGCGGAAAGCCCAAGGGCATTTCTGGTCTGTCATGCCCTTGCTCCATCTGAACAGACAACGAGAGGCTCTCAAGGAGTTGAGAAAAATGATGCCAATAACGGCAAACGACACCAGTAAATGCATAGACATATTCAAGTTCTTGGCCGATAGACCTCCTCATGGCTATTTACAGGGATACAATTGGTTCACAGCATTTCACGTTGTGGCGTATAAAAATATGACATCTCTCCTCAGCGAGTGGAACAAGAATCAAGAGAGTCAAAAGTGAGGTGCAAGTCTTGTTATTTGCATCTGTAATTCATCCATGTCCACGTTCGATGTTCGATGTGACTGACAGTGACTCGAGTTAGCTGTTTTATCACAGATAGGCGGGGTGATCAATTTTGCATGGTTGTCGTCAATGAGGAAATTATGTGAAATTTTTGTACACCTCTAACGCGAGTCGTGTGTAAATTTTCATGATGTAGTGAGAAAAATTTTGAGCTCAGCCGAGGAAAGCAAACATATATTCCAACACTGTGTGCATGTTCTCGCACACTGTTGATGGGCGATTGACGGACAACAAGTGTGGGAAAGATGCATATGGTCATCTACCTGTTGGTGATGGTGCGATAAATCTGACGAAACTTCGGAAAATGCTGTACACTCCTACTCGAATTCGCGCGCGAATTTCCCTAGGTGAAGAGATCCTTGAGCTCCGTTGAGGAAGCGATCACACATCCTAACACTCTTGGCAACAGACCTAGACTCTCTAGCGTCCATCTCAACATCAAGCCTTGATGTTATTAGTAACAATAATACGAGTGTGAGTTGATAATGTCATCAGACATTGTTGATCACCTCATCATCACTACTTGGGAGGTGAGTTGAAGAGAGATAGGCTTCAACTATCAAGCAACACTGAATGGGTGCCCTTTGTCTTTGAGTACTAGTATAATGATCGTAATAAGTATAATCCTGGCAGTAGGAAGTTAGGGATGTTTGTGTGCTCTATTGAGAGGTCAGCAAGAGCCCTTACTGCCAGCACGTCTATAGTCAACTTTCACGTTATACCCTTGGTGGATCGATGTGCATTTCCACTGCAAACTCAACAGATACCGCGGTGTATCGCATCGATAGAGATGGTCAATTGAAGCTCAATAACAGCGTATTCAATGTTACAACAGAGCGCTCCATTATGGGATACGTCGACAGCGACAAGAAGAAGACCTCAGTTTTGGCCAACTCGTGGACTGCCACGTCGAACAGCTGCATGAGGATGATGATGGGGACGAATATTGTGCTGATGGTGAGCATCTGAGAAGAACATATAAATCGTATCTAACTCCGACTGATGATATCATCGTCAATTCTACCGGTGACCTGCCAAAGTCTATTTCGGTTCAACACACATGAGACTTCAGGACAGTTCAACAAAGGTATCGATGATATACGAGTTTCTCTAAGCTCAGAATCTAGAGAAATCATCATCCTCACCTGCTCGGGTGATCCGGTAAGTGCTGGTGCCGGAGAGAACGCGGCCCGGTGCGTTCACTTTGATGTAATTACATGGGGCGTGACGGAGTGATACTTGCGAGGAACTTCTGGCGCTAGGGCGGCGCTGTCCTCGAGGAGCATTAACGCCATAGCCCTCAGTGAAAGCCTTTACAGACATCCGTACGAACTCCTGACCATAAGTTCGCCCAAGCAGCGTCAGAGACTTCACGAAATGCTCATAGTCGCCTTCCTTCACCGACACTCCCATTCCTCCCAAGTCCACGAATGTAACGCCACCATTCTCGCCGACACCAAGGTTGGGCTCGTCGACAAATATGTTACATGGTTGGAAATCCGTATGCTGAACTTCCAGCGGCCCTGACGCCCCATTGATTCGCTCATGGAAACGCCTCAACTGTCGCCCGACTTCTTCAAGCACCTTGGAATTGTCCTCGCGTGCATGCACCTTCCGTCCCAGTATTTCAGCGAGCCTCACGCCGTTAGCAACCGGCATCGCTATGAGGTTAAAGAGCACTCGAGATGCAGTACCAGAAGTCGCCACATCGAAAATCTTCACCGGGAAGGCCAATAGCCCACCCAGGGTGCTTCGTGACAACAGGAAAGGAAACCGTCTCGCCAGATCGATGTAGTTGCCAGCTTCAGTTGGCAATTGCGCACATTTACGCTGAGCCGACACCAGTTTCAAACATAGTTTATTCGCACCATTCACCTTAACAAACCATATCCCTCCGTTCATACCACCCGTGAAGCCCCTCATGGAAGCGATAGTGATGTTACCACCATCGTCCAGTCCTAGTTCCGACACCAACACTGAGAAACAATCATTCGGATTGAACGTTGAGGAGTTCCTTCCTGGTATATTAAGTCGTTTTCTCGATACCAGACCCCCATGCCTGAGCGAAGACCGATCACCATTCGAGCCCGTCTTGACCGGAGTGACCGCAACATCATCCAATCTAACTTCATCAGCCAGTGACCAATTTTTCCTCCGTATTTTATTCTTATTTGCCCGCCTTTTGACATCTAAGTCAACATAGCCAGGATCATCACAGATCCCCAGCACAGTAGCATCTACCCAACGATCGTGTGTTAGACTGTAATACCGCACCTCGTCATTAACGTCATATTCCGCCTCTTCCTCTCTGATCGGCACTTCTGGCGGGTCGCCCGGGGGTAAAGGTCTGATCCTATTGGTGCGAGCGTTTGACTTCACCTCTAAATCGTATGTCAGTTCAGCATGGTTAACTTTGATCACTGTAGTCCGCACCCACCGAGAGTAAGTTGTACTGTAATACTCTACACTTTCTCCCTGCTGGTACTTCGGGAACTCCACAACTTCTACGGTTTGCTGACGGTCCAGCTGGAGATTCCGAGATGTTTTGAATGGCGGCGAATAATTATTAATAACCATTATCAAACGAAAGCAGTCACGGCCTAGGGTCAGACTAATCTCAAAATGCATGTTCGCTTTCCTCAACTGAGCTTACGAGACTAATTACGTTGGGAGTGTCCAGAAACCGATAAGAATTTCCATACTGTAACCAACATACGCATAGTTGACCATGTGCATATTTTTTACACTGCATCACACTCAACGAGAATTAACATACCACGAGTCACCCAAGTCCACTACGCTCCATTGAAACCATGCATCACAAGTCGGAGTTTTCTCCAGCCACATCGCAAAGAGAAGTCACAAGTTTAAATACCGCTCCGTGACCAACTCAACGCCCACATATAA